TGCTCTTCATATATTTAGGCAGTGGTTTTACTCCTTCTGGTTTTAATTCATGCCCCAAAAAGTGGATTTTCTGTACTTTGTAAATGCATTTCTCTTGATTTAATAAAACATTATTTTCCTTCAATACCTCGATCACTTTGGATAGTCTCAGGTCATGTTCTCTTTCGTTGCTCCCCCATATTAATATATCATCAATAAAATTTGTAACTCCTTCGCATTTAATTAACATTTTCTCCATGATTTTCTGAAAGAGTTCTGGAGCACATGTGATCCCAAACATAAGCCTTTTGTATCGGTAAAGGCCATTAGATGTAATAAAGGTGGTCAAATATCTTGAATCCGGGTGAAGTTCTACTTGATGAAATGCGTTTTTTATGTCGATTTTAGAAAAATATTGGGCTTTCTTTATTTTTGGTAATAAATTCTCCATACAGGGTAATGGGTGGTTTTCTCTTAAAATGACAGCGTTGGCGCGTCGCATATCAACGCATATCCGTACATCACCATCGTCCTTAAGGATTGGAACTATAGGGGAGACCCAACGTGAAGGCCCATGCACCTCTTCTATGATGTCTAATTCTAGTAATTCTTTTATTTTTTTGTTTATCTTTTCTTCTAAAGGTATTGGAATTCTACGGTAAGTTTGCATAACTGGTTTTACTGATAAATCAATGGGAATCTCAATTAAGGTCTCTTTAAATTTCGGGAAAGGTTTACACTCTTGCTCAACTTGATTTATGTTCACGCCTAACTTCAGAACACCCAGTTGCAACGCAGTATCTTTACCGAGTAGGTTTCGTGATCCATTTTCAATAACGTAAATAGTGGCGCGTTCCACTTTTCCATTTGCTTTTATTTCTGCTTCAAAAGAACCTTTAATTTGTAAGGGTGTTTTACTTCCATATGCTAATAATATTTTATTTGGCTCTTTCACTTGTTTGTTACAAATGACCTTGTTTTTCTTTAAATATTCCCAGGTATTATAAGATATTAAATTTAATTTACATCCTGAGTCAATTAACATTTCTAAATTTACACCTCCTATCTTGCATTTGATTGTTGCGTCATCGTTCAAATTAAATATGTATTGTATTTCTTCATCCCCCAGAGAATTGACTGTACTTTCCTTCCGTTGTCGCTTGTTATAAGTTTTTTCATTTCCTTGGTTCTGTGCTAGCATACGTTTTTGATGAAATGCTTTAGTTTTGCAACATCTTTGATAATGCCCTAATTTCCCACAGCCGTTACACTTCTTGTCTTTCGCTAGGCAGGGAAGACCTTGGACGACATGTGCAGAAATCCCACACCTAGTACATTTTAGCGTCTTTTTCTTTTCATAAAAATCAATTCTTTGTTTAGACCATCTTGAGCTATCCTTATTTCTATTTTGTATTGCGTTAACTTCATTTGTCTTGTTATTTTAAAATATCAAGGTCCTCCCCAAGTTCCACGTTTGCCCCTGGCAAATTATAAAATATTTCTTGCAGTGTACTTCCCCCAAGCACTAGCAATGTAGCTCTTTTTTTATTTGCTGCAGTCGTGATATCAGCGGCTTCACGGTAGATCCGAAGAAATCGTTTCCATTTTTCCCATCTCAAGCCGGCGGATGTACTATCTCCCTCGATTTCCAATTTTTCAGGTGGCGGTAATTGATTTGCCATGATTGACCGTATTAGGCGACCTGAAATTACACCCAATTGAATGGACGTCAAAACACCTTCAATTTAATGAAAGTCGCCTCGTATAGTACAACGAAGTATCTAGAGTACCTCTTATTTAAAAGAAGTCGTTAAATCTCCAAATTCAATGAACTTCTTATTGTCTTTACGTACTTCCAATTTAATGGAAGTCCAAATTAAGTTTTCATTTCCAATTTAATGGAAATCTTGTAATTATTTAAAATTACTGTAGATATTTCCAATACGATGGAAATCTAACTGGTGCAATATTTTTTGTCTTAACCTGTTGTTACATCGTTCACTGTGCCACTCGCAGTGTATATATTTCATTAACAAAATGTAGGTAGTTAGTCGATCAGTTATTAAAATTTATTTGATTTAGACGCTTGGTAATTACTATAATTATAGACCATTTTGAAACCCGGAAAACAACTCGTAATCTTGAAAAACGTAATCACTAATAAGTGTTCCAAAAATAATTTTAATCCATTATATTCAATGATGAATATTTATAAGAATGTGAGTAGGTAGATAGAAAAGTTGAATATTATTGAAAAGGCACAACAATAATTTTGACTAGTATTTTTTCTTATAAAATTGACAATAGGTAACCCTGTCTTATTAATATAAATTTGTTAACATTAGAACTAAGTAATAGTGTTGTTTACATTATTTCTTTTAACGTCACAACATAACTATTTCGACGGTTTGAGTGAAATGTAATAGATTGAAATTATTTTTCGTAAACAAAATTCCATAACGATTAAACAATTAATTCTACTACTTAACTATTATATTGACTTCACCAGTAAACAGTAGAAAGTATATAATAAGCTAATAACTTTTATGGGCTGCAAATTTTATTCACTTTTCTATCACCTTCCTTTCCTTTTAAACATATTAATGTATTTTATTTACTGACCTTTATCCTCGTCGCCACTTGTAGTGATCGCAAGTTAACAAAAGGAACTAACTATGAGTATCTGTGGTTCACTGGCTCACTACTACACACAGCTCCGAGCGTAGGCGCACGTCTTTACCGTACCGCGTCTAATGCTAGACTGACAGACTGTCGCTACCCCCTCTACTGGTGTACATGAGACAATATATTATATCTATTAAATAGATACAAACACTACAGTACATATTAGGTATTTACCCTACTTGGTATATTTCTTCACCTACGAGCACTCCGAATATCCTCGTATTGCGTAGATCGGTGGCAGGGCCACGCAATGCACGTTGCACGAATGGGTAGGTCCATCCGGGTGAGTACCACGACCTCACAGAAGACCAGCGCAAAGTGGAAGTATGACAAATACTTTCGCGTTTCGTCTGGTGAGTGAGGTAGCCGGAGCCCAATTTTCAAAAGGTTGTAAACGCACCTGAACCCTCGGACTTCCGCGTGTTATACTTCCGCGTTTCTTGGGGGCAGCCAGAGCCCACTTTATTAAAAGCTGACAACGCATATGCAAGCCTGGTATCCATAGACGGCGGTTATCACTTAACATCAGGTGAAACAGCTCGTATGCCACCTGTTCACATAAAAAAAAACTAATTGGCTAGCGATCAATCCTTCCTTTGATAAACGGTGATGTATTTATAATTCAATAAAAGTACTCAACTCTTGCCTACACTCTTACATTGTAATCGACGGGAAGGGCGGACGGCGTCGAATAAATTTGTACAATTAGCTAAGTTCTTATCTTCCGTATTTATCGTTTCGGTATACACGAGTAACGGGAATACGCAAAGGAGAAAACAAATGCAGTTCATATATGGACCACTTTAAATTCTTACTTAAAACCCTAATTGCTTAGTGCAGCGAAGTGTTTTTGCTACATCGATATCGATATAATATAAAGTGGGGAAAAACTGTTCACGAAGCAGTTGCCTTAACAATATTAATGAATAGATTGAATAACTTGACGACCCGATTGGCGTAGTGGGTTCGATCCCCAACTACCGGAAAAATTTTGTGTGATGAACATAGTATTTTTCCTGTATCTAAGTGTTTATATTATGTATAATATGTATTTATTTACAAAAAAAAGGATGTTTAAGTATGATTATCAGTTATCTAGTACCCATAATTACTAATAACGTTGTGTAAAAATGTGTAAAAAAACAAAAAAAACTTTAATTCAGTACAAGGATGGCAATTCAAAGTAATCTAGAAAACAGTATAGAGTACCTAATGCTTATTTACAAGGTCAAGCCATTTATTATCAATAACATACCGCCTAAGAATTGGAGCCAATAACTGAAAGTTTCAAGTGACTTTAACTAGATTCTTCGATTACTTTTTTATCTAAGTCGCCGTAGCTCATTGCCCGCGGGCTCGCTTTTAATTAAGCATACTCGAGCAAGGTGATTCTAATAAAAATGTCCCATTGAGATTCTAGACCTTTTTACCACGGCGGTCGGCGGTGAAGAAAATTTCCACAAGAAATCTGTAATGCTTATTTTACTGATTACATTAGTTTATTAAGACATGTAGAAAAAGTACGAAAAGATTGTCGCCGCTGTGGGAATCGAACCCACGTCTTCGGCCGAAGTTTCGAATTTAATGTTCAATCTTAAGTGCAGAGATTAGCACTATATAAAACTTTAAAAATTTACATTAGTTTAATTAAAAACGTGTTGATAAAACTTTCACAAATCGCCGCTGTCGGGATTCGAACGTGCGCCTTCTTGGTTGCACATCTAGTAGCTCTAGCCACTAAGCGCCTGGCAGTGACAAAAAAGGTAACAATTTTGAAAATTGCGAAAAATCTTGCAGTCTACGAGAATTAAATCGCTTTTCCCTTTTTTGTTTCTTTATATGTAATTCAACGTGTTTGTTGAGAGAGAGAGAGAGTGAGTTTAAGGTATCAGGTAAATCATACGTTCGATATAAGAAAGTATTTCGTTAGCGCCAACCTTAAAAACACATTAAGGTTGTCTCGAAATTAAATTATACAACGATCCACCTCTATACTTGTAATAATACGCTGTTAATTTTCTGTAAATACTCATTTAGTGTCGCCGATGGAAAGCGAACCTTCTAAACACCGCTGTAAAGTGTAAAATCGTGGATCAGCATAAATATTCCGTCTCAAAGTTAAAACAACCTGTTTCACGCGTCAGTTAATCCCTTTTATCTGGAGGTGACAAGACGTGGTTTATTATTTCTCCCGAGATGTGCCGGTAACTCATACGGAACGATGTGACTAAAATAGATTTATATTCTAATTTGGGTGGTGAAAGTAACGGGACTCTATATATACGTCCCAATACTGGGCATTGTTCCCACTTATACACATTGGTACATATATAAGCATGTGTACTGTCGTGGCAGGTCAAAATGATTGTTCTAATAAAATATCTAAACATTATTTTGTGTATTAAATTAAACCCACCATATGACACTATGCTCCTAAATGTCACTGTTCCTAAAAAAAAATTACATCTCCTTAGCATTAGCACCCCAATTGAAAAATGCTCTAAAAGAATGAGTTTATTTTATTTTATTATTTCTATTTCTGCTATCAGCATTCATATCTCTCCTTGTATTTGATACGTTTTGCTTACATACTATTTTTTTCATACTACAACAGCAACTCCGAAGCAATTGCAATTATAGGCCGTGTCGACAGCAGCCTCGGCTGTTGCACGAATGGACAGGCTCGTCCGAGTGAGTACCACGACCTCACAAAACAACCAGCGCAAATACTTCCGCGTTTCGTCTGGTGAGGTAGCCGGAGTTCAATTTTCAAAAGGTTGTCAACGCATCTGTAACCCTCGGGTGTAGCAGATGTCCATGGGCGGCGGTATACACTTAACATCAGGTGAACCGCCAGCTCGCTTGTCAACTTTTCACATAAAAAAACAACCTCCTCACTGAAGACCGGCGTGTCGTGAATTTGTATTTTAGTTGCGTGTGGCAAGTGAGGCAACTGGTGGAGCACCCTTGTTTGCAATACACCAATACCAACAACAGCAACACCTCTGTTGTTGTGTTAATTAAATGAAAATTGTAGTGTTACAGACAGAAACCACATGGTGAAGAAAATAAGATATCCAGTCTAAAAAGTCTTATTTAAATGCCCCAGGAAATGATTTTAGAAGTCATATTTCCTTGTTTTAACATAATTATGGTAATACTTGTTTACAAATACAATATTTACTTTTTTGGATATTTTCACTAGAAACAAAAAAACAACTTTTAGAGGAAAAGTTCTATCTAGTACAGTCTACTACCGCAAACATAGCATCTTTTGGTAACAGCTCTGATTAATAATACTTACTTACACATTTGTCACCCAAGAATTTTGTCAAACTGTAATAAATATCGACTGCCCTATTACATTGCATATTATGTACTAGTAAACTATGTTCTGGCAGGTAACTGCGCTAGAAGAAATCAAGAAGCAACTGTAAAGCGTTATCAAAAAAGCTTAGCGTTCCAGAATAGGCGTCGCTAACACAATGACGAACGCTCTCGGAGACCATAATTCACGCGGTTGACAATCGCGGAGCGTGTCAAATGAAAAAAAGAAAATCAAACGTCGCGGATGATTAACGTCAGTGGCGTCCCTCGTCAACAATACATCATGGCGCGGAGGTTTTAATGGGAAGAACTATTTGCGTGATAGGTCTATATTGAGACACAATGCGTTACATCGATCTGTTTGAGCGTAATATGTACTATTCGGTGTTCTGCGCAGCTCCCGTCCGAGAAAATTGATGTTGCCCTATCCACTGGTACCATTACCCGCTTTTGTATATCATGATTGTGTGTGCAATTAAAGATTTCTTTCCTGATTTGGATACATTATCAAGACAAAAATAATACAACCAATATATAAATAAATAAATAAGCTATGTAATAGACTGACGATGCGGGCAATATCGAGGAGCATCATCTTCTATCTTCTTGTCTCAGACCTTGTTAATTTAGCTGATATAAAAACCTGGACGCGTTGGTTAAGTGATAAATTCGGCCAGCGACGAATACAGCTATGTTTCTATATCACTAATTTGAGTTGCGAAAGTTATACGTGAGTGAAAAGTGACTCCTAGAAACTTGACCTTTTTCTTCCAGGAAAGCGCTCGTCCATAGACATGATTCAAAAGTACCTCCTAGACACAAGACCTGTTCTCTCGGGGGAGCAGTTGGCCATAGAGGGAGTTTTTCCCTAGCTTTCTGAACTAGCGAGGACTTTTATGACGGTAGGGCAGGTGAGGGTTCGGAGTACTTCGTGTGTAGTGAATTGCCACACACTCTTGTCGGGTCGTCTTTGATTGAGGTACCCGGAGCCCACTTTTTAATGGATCTGCAACCCGTAAAGTGTTGTAGGTGTCAATGGGCGGTAGTAATCGCTTACCATCAGCTGAACCAAATGCTCATTTGCCAGCTTCTCGCATAAAAAAGGCAGGAATTGCAATCGCGGTTCCAGGAAGCGAGGCGCTCGAATCCCGGGCCACCGCCGCTACACGCGGACTCTGCCGCGCGGACACATCGCCGGATGCAACATCAAAAGATCCCGGGAAAAACGAACACGCAGACGGCTACGCCGCGTGGTCCAAACGTGACAAATCTAGCCCATCCCCGGCTACATTACCACCTGTTCGGCTAATCTCCGCGCACACTCAATAGCGCTGGCCATTTGTACGCGCTGACAACCCTAAGCCGGAGCCGATGTACAGTCACAGCACTATTAGTAACTATTAGCGGAGGCAGCTTAAGCCAGTTTAATGAAGACTAATCGACAATTAATTCAACAGGTTTGCGTCCGGCCGACGGTACCGATAATTTCGTTTGATCTGCTCGCCCCCTAATCACATTACGTCTTAGTCGGATACATGAGTCATTAAACTTAGTACAATTATTGGAGGGTTTTTTGAGCTCAAGTAGATTCTGCAGTTGTCAGAGGGATGATGCCATCGAGAAGAAATAAATTAATGATATTTACAAATGGAAAAGTTTGAAATCATCAGTTTTCCCTTCCAAAATGTGTTTTCAAGGCGTGAGGTTACTAAGAGGTTACTAAGCTACTGCCATCTAAGATTACATTAATTAGATAGCAGACTAGCACTGGCTGGTTTTGGATAAAAATATACCTATTGCATAAAAGTAAAAATTACTATATGAACATTAATTAGCATAATAATTAATTGCTCTGAGTGATGGCAGGTTGTTACGATGAAAGTATAATCATTCTTTTCTAAAATGTTATAATGAAAACTTACTTATAATTTAGAAATTTAAATTGTTTATAATGCTAATCTTTGCTCTTAAGATTTAACATTAAAATATTATTTTTAAACTTTTTTTTATAGTGCTAATCTCTGCACTTAAGACTGAACATTAAAACATAAGATAAGGTACGAAAAGATGAACGTAGATAAGGTACGAAAAGATTGTCGCCGCTGTGGGAATCGAACCCACGTCTTCGGCAATCGCGGCCTGACGCTCTAGCCACTAAGCTAAATGGCTGATTGCACATCAAATATTCTCTTCATTTAAATTTATGCATAAATTGAGGTGATTTATCTTATTCTTCCTTATATTTTCGGTATATAACTAAAAGTATTCCGCTGTAAATGGTGTCATTCACTTTACAGCTGAATATTTCAATATATTAATGTAATAATCGCACAGGAACGTGTACCGAGAACCAATTAAAACCTAGGGAAGATTAAAATTGTTAATTTTGAAGAGTGAATGACTGTCGATATATATAAACACTAATTACGTCGTAACTGTCAGTAATATTTTATTAATTTTGTTAACTGATATGAAGAAAATCTTCATACCAGTTCATAAATAGTAGTTTGTTTTAATTAAGGTAAAATTAAGAGTATAGCTTAAGAAAGCTGTGTTCTTCTGCAATTATTGAAACATTTACGAGTTTCTCTTTACTGCTTAATGTGTCTAATTTTGACGAACCTTAAGAAAGTAAATAAAGAGATCCTTTAGTTCTAAGTAAGCCCGCGATCGAAAATCGAATCTCTTGGCTGGCTACGGCCGTTTTAGACCTTTAGTATTTCCAACGTCCCCCACTTGAAATACGACCAGCGCCGAAAACTTCCAAGTATTCCCTTCACCAAGCAACAATGGGAGGAAGTGTTTCGCCACGTAAATATACCTGTGTACCTAAAAATAGCGAACAAAGCGAAGGGACCCTCGCCGGAGCGCGTTGCGTTTTATGGGCGGTGGGTTTATTAATAATGTAGTAATGACTTCGCAGCATCTGGACCGAAGGTGGGACCACTTGACCGCACGAACTTCTATTCCATACAATTGTTTGTTCTCGTTCGCTAAGTTATAGGATCACCACAGATCGCTGATTCGATCGCCGTTCAGAATAACACTAATTTTGATCTGGAGATGACCATGCCTATCAGTCTCAACTGTCGTCGTGATTACTACATACATACCAAATTTTCATCGCATAAATGATATAAGAACGGAATCAGAATTTAGAATAACATTCACACCTTTATAGTGTACCCAAAATTAAGACGTTTGTTTAATATTTTGTAAAACGAATCTTTTTTTAAACTGAAATCGATGGAATGCACTATGTAAAAATTGTAACTTATGCTAGAGTGTAATCAAGTTATTGATCAATATACATTACGTAATTGCTACAAGAATAAAAATAGCTGCGTAGTACTTCAATCCACCTACTCGATATCAACCCAAGTTAACCTAGGCAGGTCTCTCTTCGTGACAGACAAATGACAGCATCCGCACAATGTAGCTTCCTTGTTGGGCTTGGCAAAGGCGACGCCATCCTACTCTCAGGATGAATATCTTGTCCAGCTGGTACGGAGTCGGCTTTCATGAATTATTAACTTATATGCCCTTATGAAAATAGGACACAAACAGTATTGCAATACATTTAAAAGCCAAATATTAAAAGTATTACAAGCAAAAACAAAATCTAAAACAAGTAAGAGTGTAAATTAAAAAACGTTATATAAACATATATAAACACCCAGACACAAAAAAACATTTTGTATTCATGATAAAATATTTTCCAGTAAGTGGGGTCGAACCCAAAGCAATAGCACTACATGGTACTAATACTAAACAAGTGGAATATAATTTAAAAAACTAAAAAAACCCGACTGCGTTTCTGTGTAATTTTTTATTTTGTTATACCCAATGTCACTCTCATGGTGAATACGAATCTAATGACACCTCTCAAGCTAAAATCCATCAAGCCGTTCAGGCCGCAGAGCTTGCCAAACAATTATACATACATACATACATACATACATACTCTCGAAAAACATTATCCCTCCTTCTGGCGCAGTCTGGTAAAAATAATGTGGTCAAAAATTTTGATTGGCATTGTTTCTAACCTTAGCGTGTAACGTGTGTGCCCACTCACACCACAATAAAATGTATTGTGGTACGAGTGGGCATTGGTTGTGGTAAACAGTTACCATCTAGAAAGATGGTCGAGTTGCCTACATTTAAATGCGCAAGTTGCTACCCAACTAGTTCATAAAAAGAAGTCGCTTCCACGCTCGCCTCACGCGAAAGATACGCCGGCGGCGGTTTATATTTAGAGTTTGCACCTAGGAAGTTCATTAAGGGATGATTCCGCTAATGTGCACGGGCCGTAATGGAGCCGTTAGTTCGCGAGTTTGTCGCGATTCGAAGTCGCGACGGCCGTGTGTTCGCGGCTTTACGGTTATGGGCAAAGTAGCGGATGCTTGTAATAACGCGGTAGACGTGCGTTAGTCGACAAGCTCAGCCAACGTGTATTGTAATCTGATTAGTTAAATCTGCCTTTCCTACTTAAACTCTTTGAAATTCTGCCATGTTTATTTAGGGTAATGACTATTTATAACGCATACCATGTCTGCGCCTTTCTTACTCTGTAAGTAGCTGTAATTTTTCTAAGTTTGGAGAACTAAATTAAATTTGGCTTTATATGGTCAGTTAGCTGTTTTTATTTGACTAATAGCTGAACCCGGTCACAATACGCCGTTTGTTTTCTTTCCGTTAGCACTTAGGAAAAAAAGTATATAAAAAAGTCTCCTGTTCAAAAGCTATGTTGTAAACAAATATCGAGTCAATCGATCGCCTAGTGTTTGAGTTTTGTGGACACAGACATACGGAAGCTAAATTTTTTTTATAAAACAACAAAACCCCGCCATTCTTCGTTGTACCTATTTTCTGGTTTCCGTTGGAACTTTGCAATAAAAAGCATATGAAAACACAGTACTGTTCAATACCTTTGTTGTGAACAAGTATCGAATCGATCGTCTAGTTTTTGATTTTTGTGGACACAAGTATACATAAGCTAAATTTTTATTTGTAAATTGGATTGACAATAAGATACGATGAAACTTCTTACGATAATTAGATTAACGAACTAACGCAAAAATAAATTACCAGTGTGCGACTTAGTTCAGCATACCTCTGCCAGAGAATGCTTAAAAAATAAGCTTAATTCGCTAATAATAATGAACATAAAAATTATCTACAAATTATTAGAAAAAGGTTTACTTTAAAGTCGTAAGCGATTAATCGCCAAAGTTTAGATGAACTTTTATGAATAATTAATGGAACGACCGCAAAGTTTAATTCTATGAATTTGACTAGACACTAAATCACATAATGCAGTTCTCATTTCTGCGGTTTGTTCCATTTATTAATAACTAGCGACCCGCCCCAGTGTCGCACAGGTGCAATGTATTATACAAATAAAACTTCATCTTGAATCACTCTATCTAGTGAAAAAACCGCATCAAGATCTGTTGCGTAGTTTTAAAGATCTAAGCATACATAAAAACACTATAGAAAATATTTTTAGAAAAAAAAATCTTGTCATTCAAAACAAATGAGTATAAGGCAGAAATCAATGCTGAGAATAGTTGTTTTGAAAATCGGTTGAAATATATATCAAAGGAAAATATAGAAACAAATTTAAAGAAAAGTTGGAGATTAAAATTTAAAAATCACTTGATGCAAATTTGAACAAAACAGAAGCTAATGATGTATATGAATTTCGTGACTAATAATAGTAAATAATAAGAATAGGGACAGGCAGCCAGCGGGACGACTTTCTTTATACTATGTAGTGATGAAGGTGGGATTCACGCCAGTATATCGTGGAACACCTAATAAATAATACATATTACAAGAATGCCTAATAAATAATGCGCATAAATTATTATATTGTGTATAAAACTGTTTATAAATTGCATTGATGTATGGATGGTAACACCGCCCCCGTTAAGCGACTCAGAATATTGCACCCTCGAGGTTTCTTGAAGAGCCTTCTTTAACATCTGAGTAAGCTTAAAGCAAATATTATGAGTAAAGCTCCGCGATATAGTGATCTTAGCTATAGTGTATGTCGAGTTTTTCGTATTAAAGTAACGCCCTTAGTCATGACTGAAGGCGAAGGCAAAACCGATCAAAAATACTCTTCCCTACTTTGATATATTTTAAACTTCACCACACTATGGAATTAATAGTATCATATACGGCAGAAAAAAGTAACAGACTATATATATGACATATAGCCCACAGCATGGCAAATATACACAGGGTACTAAGGCAAGTCTAGCACGCGACACCATTTGGATTGGAGAACTTCAAACATATAAAATATGAAGCTTCACATA